TCACCCCAATTTTATGAAAAGACGTTACGCGGTAGCTTCATCAGTTACTGGTACATCAAACTGTTCTACAAAATCTTTTATATACCAATAGGTAATGACAATACTCATTAGGTGAATGATCAAATGGTTAAACAAGTAGATTTTGAAAAAACAGTTACAACACAATAATACTTTTAGACAATGGTTAACAAACCCGGGAAATAACTTTGATGTAGTTATCTTGGCTTTTGAAGTATATTCAGTATTTATAAAATATATTTTAAAATAAGATTTGAATTATGTGCTAGCTCTTCTGAAAAATGGGATGTTATTTTGAAAACCTGCTTCTTTTAAGTTTTTGAATGCTATGTCTCTCTCGGGAGAGGACCTGTGAAAAAGCAAACACTCATTCCGGAAGCTGCTTAAAGAGTTTTATGAAACTGATTCGACAGTGAAAAATGATATGACGTGCATTAAACCTAATTTGGATAATATATCACCAAAATTTATGGTTCCTCTAAGAATTATGATAACATACTTAAACGTTTTATGGCTCCTGCATTCAAAACTGATCTTAGAATACGTTGAAATCAACGCTAATAAAATGGGAAGAAATATGGTGCATGTCGAATGGAGGTTTATATGTGACAACCATAAAATTTATAATATAGCTGTTGGAAAAGAGCAACTCTATTAGAAACTAATACTGATGTCAAATAAAACAGGAGATTAAATATCCAAAACATTGTGAAGTACTGAAATGTTTAATTGCTGATTATAATCGTCAACAAATTTTTGGTGAAGGAAGGATTTTTTGAAAATTTTTTGGGTTGAAATAAAAGCGGCATCTGTGGAGGGGAACAAAAGTTCAAAAAACCTATACCTCTGTATATAGGGTTAGTCTGTATACAAGGCCTATACCTATAACTTTGTTGACAAAATTAATATTCCGCTTGAAAAACCTTAGTTAGCGACAACTTTCAATAGATTTTCACTATGGTAATGGTACCTAGTAGTAATTTTCGTAAGTATATTATTATAAACGTTAAACATATCGAAAATTGAGAAAAAAAACAAACAAATTAACGACATTTGGTTTGTTAGATTATGCCAGTTGTTATGATGCCAATGATCACTGACGCCATTACAGGTGTGATTGTATGCGCATAAATAATTGATATGTCATAATAGATAGAAGCAAAGTCAGCAACATCCATCATAGTATAATATATAATGATGCCAGCAAGAAGATCGAATCTTTCTCAACGAAGCCTTCAACGCAATTAGAATGCGGAATATTGCGAATCAATCCACTGCAGATGAAGAAGAAATTGATAAAATGTTTTCAGCTCTTTATAAACTATAACGATCAAAATAAACCAGAAACTGACGTGACGTAACGTCAAATTCCTTTTCAAAACCAACCTCACGCTAGTTTTGAATCATCATGAATACGTTTCAAATCATAGTTGATGTGACGTCATCTTTTCAACGCCAGAATGAATGTATTTGAATCACAGACGAATACGTTTTGAATACGAGAGCGCCAGAAAACGTCTTTGATTGATATTGGAGTCATAGGTTACATTTTTATGAAAATCATGAATATTCAATTCAAAAGTGAAAATAGTCGAAACAAAAAATTCTGTATAATAGTAGTAGTTTATCGATGGAGCATAATAATGTATTGATCATACCAATTTAATTGTCGGATGCCGTTAGTATAATTATTATAGACGAATTAATTTGTAGTATAAATTTATAATCTTATTTGTTATGTTTTTATTTACAGTAACGGAATTCTCGTCATCTGTGTGAGTACTTGACGGATTAGTAGTTTTTGTGTTCACTCCTTTTATAATCAAATTGGTTTCATTTCGTAATCAAAATCTTGTATATAACATTATTCAACTCTTCCTAAATGTTAACTGATTGGAAAACTTTCTCATATATTTAATATTTACTTTCCAGATGATCTCAGGATCTCTGATACTACACTTGGTAGGATAACAACAGTTCTCAGGTTGTTAATGAGAATCAAACCAGATACATCTGTATGACTGTAGAGTAGGGAGGGTGAGTGTAAGCCCACAGCACTTAGGCAATATGTGACCCATTGCACATCCTCCCGAAGAATTGTCCTCGGGAGGATGTATGTTTGACGTCTCCTTTATATCGGTAGGTGTAGGCCAAGACTCGCCGAACACTCACTCTCTCATTGACGATAACTCCGGACACTCGCATAGGGCATGCCTGACAGTTTCATCTTTCTGTTCACTATCCTGCATAGAGGTGTGTTCACTGGCCCCATAATATAGAGGTGTTTTCTTAGTTGAAATTTGCCAGTCAGAAATTCTACTGCTAAGCGTGGGTTTTTCCTGGTCATCGCCAAATATTTCTTCGGCGCCAGCTTCCCAGGATCGCCCAGGGTGATCCTGGCAAGACTGCATCCTTTGGATTCCATCCCATTTCTTTAGGGAATGAGCATGGGTGTGACGTTTGGCTAGTTTCACAATTGTCGAAGTCATCAGGCCGTAGGTTTCACTGGGTCCTAAAATTCTTAGTCCAACCGCTTCCTTGGCTAAAGAGAAGACAATGCGATTACCTTCACGAATGTCGTGCCCTTTAACCCACCTCATCTACCTAGGCTTTGGTTAAATCTTGGTGGCACTCTAGTACTAACCCTGAGGTAAAACCAGATACATATTTATGTTTCTGGGATGAAAACCACAATCTGTGGTGTACTTATACCTCAATTCTGAAATCTGTCTTGCATATCCCCGATATCTTTTGTAATCCTGAGAAAAATGCATTCCAAATATCAGCATATGATAAGAAATCTTCAATTTGAACATTTTTTGCCGAATTCATCACATATTTCTTCATATTTCAGAGGAATTGCTATAAATGCAGTCCTTGCAAATTGTGGATTTGGTGACTGGACTTAAAATGTTTTTACCACTGATAAAATTTTCAGCGACAGGAGACAAGACTGAAAATTGAAAATATCAAAAAAACTAATAGAACATTCATTGTTGGCCACGAGAAGTTGAATGAAATACTTGATCACATTTTGCCATTATTGTTATAGATCAGGAAAAGTTAGTCCAAATTTGGAAAACTGAAAGATTGGAACTGAAATTTGAGAATATAGAGAAGACTCGTACAACGATTTTTGTTCTATTCACGAGTTTAACAAAGCACTTCTTTTCAGTTTTCTGGTAATTGCGTGATAACAAAAATATTTCAGAAATGAAGTTTTTATTGGATTTTGAAAATTTTTTGGCATCGAGAAACTGAAAACAAAATATATTGAAAACACTTTTTAGACGTTTTTTGTTCCTATTGGGAAGGCGAAAAAATACTTGATTACTGTTTTTTTCAATTGCTATAGTTTAATAATTATTTCAGAAATCAAAATTCAATAAGACATGCAAATGTTTTGGACGATGACGGGCATGTTGGAATTGAAAACCTTTTTTGTTCATATCGTACTTCATTACAGAATTCCCGAACCTATTGAAACTCGGCCAAGTAAAGCCAGCTTCTTAACGAAGCCAATTAGTTAGTATGGTGAGTTGTCTTTCAGGTCAGATGGTAAGAATACGGCTTTGCCGACCTCTAAAAACCTGATTCGATCTCCAGCAGGACAAACACAAAGTATTTGCTCTGCTGTTTCATTATTTTCCAAACAGAGGTGACACACACTGTCTTCCGACAGTCCGAGTCTCTGTATATGATTATTCAAATGACAGTGACCTGTAAGAAGGCCTGTTAGACATCCTAGTTCATTCCTACTGTAGTCCAACAAATGTTTGGTATCAAGCTTCGAAGGGTAAATAAACGCCTTGGAGTGAGCCAATCCTGGAATATTCTGCCAGAAGTTCATAAATCTTTCTGCCATCCAGATGTTCAATCTTTGTTTGGCGAAGCCTAAAGCGATACCAATGACAGGTTCTGGTCCGATGAAGCTGCTTGTAGCACCCTCGTTTGCAAGGGAGTCAGCAACCTCATTACCTTTCAAGGCAGTATGGCCAGGAATCCAGACCAGGGACAATCTGTTAAGTCTTCCTATCGAGGAGAGTCGTTTTTGGCAATTTGCTACCAAGTTGATCGGTAGGAGCCAAGAGCTTCCAATGCCGCTTGACTGTCCGAGAATATTTTTATTGACTTGTGTATGAGGTTGGATTCTTCCAATATCTCCGCACACAATTCAATAGCGTAAATTTCCACTTGAAATACAGTCGCATAGCTTCCTAGGCAGGTTGATATCTCTGTCCTGACTCAGTGACTGAAAACACCTGCATTAGAAACGGAAGGTATTTTCGATACATCTGTGAACCAACAACTATCTGCTCTTGATATTTCCTCCTCCCGGAGGATCCAGTCTTTTCTACTAGGGAATAGTAGTGTATAAGGCAGTTCGTAGTTGACAGTTGGATGCATAAAACAAGGCAGGTAATATAATTTTACAATTTTACCACATTTGTTATCGTTTAGGAAATGTTAAGGTTTAAAAAATTTAATTTTCATTTAAATCATTGAAGAATAGAACAGAATAACCTATTAGATTTTTGTGGAAATTTCAGTACTCCGGCTAATATTGGTTCAAATTTTCAAAAAATCTCATTTTCTAGACTTAGAAGCTTGGTCGTAGCATACACATTAATAATATCCAATTTCAGTTGAAACAATATTTTTTCAGAAATCGAATTGAAACTGTTTTCCTGTAGTTCGGCTGTAGTATTCTCATAATTGGTTTCCTATGATGGTTTCGAAGAAGTTTAAAAAACAAATTAAGGATCGTTCACAATTGGTCTATGTTTGCTCGTAGTATCAATACATGGAAAATTATCTTTACCTTTAACTTCTACTTAGTGCTTGTTATGATCCCATTACTCCAACCCTTTAGTATTTGAACATAACTTGGTCACTCTTTGCGTAACGAGCATAGCTGTTTCAGTTTATAATGCGACGCCCTTTCTGGAAACATTCCATATTGGAAAGCTTCAATTTTTCAGATCCTCAGCAGGGGGTTGACGACGACGACTCCCAAGAAGCAGGAAGCTCGCGTGCACAGTACGTCTCTGCAAATTGCGTGGTATTCACCCATTACCAAGGTGACGCGGCCTCCGTAGTCGACGAACACTTTTCTAGAGCCCTAGACAAGACGTCTGCTCACACGAAAGGTAAGAGTCATTACTGTTTTCGTTTATGGAAAGCCCGAATAAATTTAACTAAAATTGTGTATGTGCATTTTGTTGATAAATCAGATTCAGTTTGAATGTAAACCTGGACTCCAATAAGCTCATAAATATTGTATACTGAATGAAACTATACTCTTGTGGTTCAAGGTTCACACAAATTTTTGCTACAAATAAAAATAACACTTTTTGTAAACTGGTGAATATTTTCATAAAATGTTACAAATTGAAATAATAAGTTTATAATAAGAAATATGACGAAGTCGAAATTTCACGTATCTTGGATTGACAGAAAGCTCAATATTCGAACATTGAAGTTGAACGAGGCTCCCTGAAGCGGTCAGTTGCAAAGCAAAGCCAAACTATCAGCAATAGCTGATAGTTTTCTGAATGTGAATGTGAAAAATAATGTACCCAATCTGAGAGATGAATCAATAGTTCCTAACTATGCAACACGAAATAGACATTTATTACCTATCCCAAAACATAAAACATCGACATTCAAGTCGATGGAAAAAAGGTTATTGGACAAAGCACTCATAGGAAGATGGGCAAACCGCAGACACGTGTTTCTGGCTATTTAGCCTTCGTCAGTACGGTACAGCCAAGTGTAAAGGATAGACAACACTTGGTTGCAAGAAAGGGTTAAAACAAGCAAGCGGATTCATCATCAGGGGCCAACTGCAATTTCGTGTCATCGTTGGAAGACCATGTGATCACAAGGACTAACTCCCAACTCCGTCACGGGTGCAGCTATAGCAACCTGCGTGACATCCCGGTCCAAGATAAATCCCTCTATCTTTTTTTATTAATCTTGGACCTGGATATATATAGTTGTATGTGTATGTGTGTTTGTTTTATTCTCTTTATATGTATATAGTTAAGTACCTGTCTTAAGTGTCCGATATATGTTATACTGTGGACCGTTATTATTGTTTTATAAAATTTTCATATTTTTGTTTATGACATGTCTTATATCATTTTTAATGATCGAAAAGACGAATGAAGTTATTATTATTATATGTCTTTTGTCATTATGTAGCAAATGCTCTAGTTCAGCGTTTTCCAAAATTTTTGCCTGGGGACCCACCATCATTGTGAATTTTTTTTTGCGACCCACATATTAAATATTATCAAGTATGATTATTGATACCAATGATATTTTTATTATTATTATCGTAAAAATTCACTATTGCGGAATACACCTCTGAAAGAAAATGGTAAAGATGATATAAATGAAAATAAAATTTAGTACAAAAAAAGACTTTTAATTCAGAAACTTAGAACTGAAAAAATACAAAAAATGAAAAAATGAGACTTGTATAATTAATGTAACTTGTGGTGCTGGCGCTTACGATTTACGAGAGATTCTATATCTGGGTCGAAAGTTGAAAGCTTTAAACGCAGGTCACTTTTCACACAAACCAATTTGTACATTTATTTTTTGAATACACCAAAGTAGAGAATGCTTACACAAATTATGGTTTGAAAAAACCATCAGCTCTTTTGAGGCTATGTTCGAAAGAACTGGATACTCTCCCCTAGCCTTTATCCAAAATAGGAAACACAATTCTAAAGTATTAGGTGTTTTTGATCGATTTCCGTGACCCACCCAAATTGCTCCCGCGACTCACTAGTGAGTTGCGACCCATAGTTTGGGAACGACTGCTCTAGTTTGTTTTACTTCCATTCAGTATACAGGGTGTAACTAAATAAGTGTAAAACATTTAAGGAGGTGATTCCTCATCGAAAAAAAGATAGGATCTTTCATATAAAGAAAGCATTGGAGCATCTCTTGTTAAGATACAGCCTCTTAAAGGGGAAACATAAAATTTGTATAACAAATTTTTTCACAAGCACTAAAAAAGTTACAATATTGAAATTAACCTGACATTTTGTAGTACCAAAAAGACACTTATTCAGTTACACCCTGTATTTACACAACTATCGAATTCTATGCCATTCATCATTTAAGTATGAGTCGAATATCAAAAGAATTTTTAATGCAGAAGTTAACAACAAATAATCAAAGAATTTCTCAGCTGTAATAGTTTAATTCACTGCCTATGAGTAATCGCAGACCGAAGTGTCGTAATGTCGACCACAGAAAATTCAAAGCGCGCCGTTGACATTGACTAAATTCCCGAAAAGCAACAAATTTGGCCCAATTAAGTAAAGCGAGTGTGGATTCCTGAGAAGCGGTAAGGCATCGATAAAAGAATCTTATCTGCGACGGCAGGACATTATTCGTTGATCGAGCCTAGGTGAGCAAACGACATAAACTTGTTTGCGGCGCAGACAGGATAGAAGAAGATAGAAGATGCCTCTCTTAGACGACGCGGTGATTTATATAAAATGATATCTGATTATTTTTTATTTCTGAATGTTAACTTCAGTTTTATATTGTCGATTATCCTTTGAGTTCGCCGATTCCCACACTCGGCCAACTTCTGGTGATAAATGTCCTCACTCCTCATCCTTGTTGGTCGCATACCTGCAACCGTACCCCACTAAATTGCTAGCTCAACCTGTTCAACCCGTTTTTCTATTTATCGGCGATTTTAGTCCTTCGCAAAAATTCTGTCGCGTTGGGCGGAATTTATTTTTTCTCGAGTTCCGAACCGGCATGAGAATAAACTCGAGAGACGATAACCATTCGACATGCGATTAATAGAACCATGGATGCTAATTGGAGGTGAACTGATTGTCCGCCAATTAATTTACATCGACATTCTCGAATGGAAAAAAGAAGTTAAGAGATATATATGTAATCGATCGGTTAACTAGAGATTTGTCGTTCATTATTTTTTATTAACCTCACTTTTTCAGATAAATTCGACATTTGTTGTAAATAGATTATAGAATGAAATTCTTGTGTACAATACTATTGATAGAGTTAACAGAATCATCAGGAAATGGTTGTTTTAGTTACCACCAGATGATGCTAACTTGGTCAGTGAAACGCGCGTATGGAGAAAATATTTTTGTTCTGGTACGGGATTTTTTTTTCAAAAGGTTCATTTTACACCAGAGGTTTTCATTTTATCTATTAATAGTGAATGGAGGCGATGACAACTATCCTTATGTAGACCCCCATCTATGGGATCGACAGAAGACTCAAATCACAAATATCCTATAGATGGTGCCGCTCAAACTTGCCCTTTAAAGACAGACGCAGCGATACTCCAACAATGCATTTGTTGTTCAGCCTAGTACCACTGATGATATCTATGGCGAAACAGTAATGTCTACTGTTAGGTCACGATTGCTGTCTTCTTGGGCTCTGATTTCAATTATTGATAGACAAAAATAAATTTTCACTGTATCTCTGTTTTCCCGAGCAGTATAGATGCGTATAAATTGTTCTGCCTAGCAAATGAGTGAAATAGCAAAGCAACTTAGTGAAATTATTCTGCCAGTTTGTGAAATCTGTCACTTTGTGGTTGTTGATAATTTCATCAAGATTAAGTAATAATGCCTAGGAGCAAAACTGAGATTACTTCAGTACTTCAGGTAAAAAATCAAGCTGATAAAATCGGTGTACTGGAGCAAAATATTATTGAACTTCACCAAGGAGCAGACAACAATTATCAACGTACAATATTTGCATATACGGGATGCCTAATGAGTATACTAAACAATTAACGAATAATGTTCTGCAGCTCATAAAATCAAAAGGCCTATAATAATGAAACTATACAAACCAGAACTGAAAGTTAATATCATCAAATGTGCTGAAAAAAATTAAAGTAACGAATATGTTTTTCACGGAGGATGTGACTGAGCCAAGAAGATCTCTTCTGATGAAGACAAACTCCAAATATGGGTCTTTTACAGGCAAATATATGCTAGCATTGAATGCTAGCATATATTTGCTCACGAGCGTGGTCGATTTTGTATGAATAGATCATAAAATATATATTTATGTTGTCTTCCAAATTCTAATTTTTTGTTTTTTTTTTCAACAATGATTGCTTACTGTTACTGCCAAATATGAATTTTGTTGCCATTTTCACGCATTCTCCGGGAAAATACTGGATATTTCTTATTTTTATGTTTTCCGCTTTTCCATTTTTTTAAATATAAATAATTTTGTAACATAATTATGAATAATAATGAGGATTATGAAGAAATAGAAACAATATAAATTCTATCAATGATAATGATATAGGCATTATGATTTTATCAGAAACTTAGTCAATTGAAGATATCTAAATATACTCGATACCTGGCTTCAATATACTCCAGTTTCAATCAAAAGGACGGTTTGATTTTGTATATTAAAGAAGATATCAATCACGCGAGTGAAATAAAACAGTTGAGTGAAACTAACATACTTGAATTGAGTTTGGTCTATACAAAAAATATTTTATAATAATTGCTTCTCATCGCTTCCCTGCATCCGAAATGGAAATATACATATCAGAAATTGAATCCTATCTCTCAACTCTTACAAGGCCCGAATCGATAGTGTTTATGGGAGATATAAATATCAATACAGCAAACGGTACTGATGCATTTGTTAACAAATATTTATGCACAATGGCTGAACAAGGTTTTATTTCATGTATCAACAAACCAACTATAGTGAAACCACTATCACTTCATATACTTTTTCATAAATAAGCCTTGATCTTTGAGGCATCAGTTTTTTACCGCCTCAGCAACTTACTTCTCATAGACTCATACACTTCAACATTTCCATTTACTAGTATAGTCGACTTCAGCGTAGATTTCAACATCGATAATGAACCACTGGGTCCAACGATTTTCTTTACCTGTCTCCATTCTTCGAAAGCTCCATATACTTTTTCGTAAATTATCCTTGATCATTGAGGCAGCAGTTTTTATACCGCCTCAGTAACCTGCTTCTCATAGACTCATAGATGTCAACATCAATAAGGAACCGTTTGTATCCATCGATTTTCTTTACCTTTCCCCATTCATCGAAATCTTCATATACTCTTTCATAAATAAGTCTTGTT